GAAAGGCCTTGCCAGAACCTCGTAGGGTCATCTTCGAGACTTCCCGGAAACTTTCAAGGCATCTTGGGGGCATCCTGGGGTGTCTCGGGGCTGCCTTAACCAAATCAGAGGACATACAGGAACCATCTTGGGGGGCCATGGGAAGTTTTGGGACCATCTTGGGGCCTTCTTCTACAACGTTGGGGGAATGTGGGGGTTACCTGGGGCCATCTTGGAATCGTCCGAGGCGCTCCTGAAGCCATCATAAGACGAAGTACCTGGGAAACCGAAACATGTAAACGTGTTGGCCAGCCCTGGTGGTTTGTCCTGGCGAACGCAAAGGACATTTGCAGCGGCTGCAGTGGCGACCAGGGCGGGCCTGAGGACCAGGCAACTCATACTTAAGGGAGACGGCACAAGGCATACGCATAAACTTCTGGAGCTCCGCGCGGAGCTCCAGAAGTTCACATTTATGCAATTGTCCTTCTTCGGCTCATGCTGCACTGAGCTGCGGTACAAGAGCAGACTCCACCAAGGGACGCCACGGCGCGCACGCCAAGGCACTACCGCTCTGCACGGCACCTCTGCGCCGCCAGACCTCGATCTGGCGACGGACCACGGCACTTCATCGGGAGACCCGGGATTCAGAATCATTTCCAGGTTTCGGTATTGTTTTTGCGTCTCTTTTGGTTTTGGTACCGTTTTTTGGTTTCGGTATCGCTGCGTTCGGTTTCAATGCCAACCTTTTTGGTTTCAATATCGTTTCCTTCCTCTCTCCCAGCGTTTCTCTTTCCTCCCGCTCCTTTCACTACTCCCCTCCCGCTCCGTTCGCTACTCCCGTCCGTTCCGTTCGCTACTCCTCTCCCGCTCCTTTCAATACTCCCCTTTCCGCTCCTTTCACTGCTCCCCTCCCGCTCCTTTCACTACTCCCCTCCCGCTCCTTTCACTACTCCCCTCCCGCTCCTTCCGGAGAGGGGCTAATGGTTGGCGGAATTCGCATTCCGAGCAGAGGCGTGCGGATCCGCCGAACCACTCCCGCCGCCACTGCTCGCCGATCGAAGGCCTTCGCCGTGCGTCGCACCATGGCCTTCCACAGCCATCTCCAAATCTATACCTGCTCTTGGAGCGACAACCGGCGTGGTTGTGATTATGGTCCATGACCGTTCGGCCGTCTCTTTATCCATTGCTGATCGGATGTGTAATGGGAAATCACCGCCCCCGTGCTCAGGGCGTCCTGGATTGGAGCGTCGTTCTACACCATGTTTCGGCACATTAATGCGGCGGGGCGGTGGTTCGGGTGCATGCGGCCGCCGCTGCCCGCCGATCCAACTGCTCCCATTTCCTTTCTCCTGTCAATGTCTCCGGTCGTGCCAATTTCCAAGTATTCGAGCCGTTCCTCCCGACGCTTTCTTCGTTCTTCAAAATACCTGCTCCAATACATATTGTGTGTACCGCTGGGCGATTATTGGCTCACCAATTCCATCACGTTGAGGCCCTTCTTTCCGGTACCGATCAAGCTGCTTATTGTATTCTGACATGTACTTATTTTTCGTGACGTCTTCGTTGTAAAACATGAACGAACGCATTTTTGCTTCTCACGGCAGAGCAATCGTTCCCACAATAAGTGGGGCCAAAAAAACAAGAGTATTCTTATTCAGTGCAAGTATGGAAGGTATGGAAGAAAGTTCGAAATGAAATATCCTGGGCCGAGTAGCTACGGAGTGAACGCTGCTTCCAACACGTCTCCTGCGCTTGATATGCATATGCGCGTATCGTATGCTGCATGCGTGTGGGCGAACACATTCCCACATGCAATTTTTACGACGTTTCCCGTAAGAGCACGCCGAACAAATTACATTCACGGAGACATTTGGAATAGGAGGAGCGAGAGGAAATTGGAATGGGAAGAATGGGAAGAAACCGGAATGTGAGGAGTGGGAGGAAACCGGAATGGAAAGAAGTTGGAATAGGAGGAAGTCGAGATAGGAGTAAGAGGACGCCGGAAGGAAGCCGGAATGTGAGGAAACCAAACTGAAAGATTGGGAGGAAACCGGAATGGGAGGAATGGGAGGACGCCAGAATGGGAGGAAGCTGGAAGGAAATCAGAAGGATGGGAGGAAGCCGGAACGGGAGGAATGGGAGGAAGCCGGGAGGAAACCGGAATGATGGGAGGAAGCCAGAATGGGACGAGTGGGAGGAAGCCGGAAGGAATTAGGAATCGGAGGAAGTCGACATGGGAGGAAACCGGAATGGGAAGAATAGAAGGAAGCCAGAATGGGAGGAAGCCGGAATGGGAGGAATGGGAGGAAACTGGAGGGGAGGAAGCCGGAATGGGAAGAAACCAGAATGGAAGGAAGCCGGAATGGGAGGAAGCCGGAATGGGAAGAATGGGAGGAAGCCGGAATGGGAGGAACCCGGAATAGGAGGAATGCGAGGAATAGGAGGAAAAAGGAAAACAGGAGGAACACGACGAGAAGACATTGGATGAATACAATTATGTCTCCACGCCGTGCGAGGCATATTCGGCGGGCAACCACAATGTCGTAATTTTCCGCACCGGGGTTTCCTCATATTCCGAGTCGCTCGGCGTCGTTGCTCACCCTATTGCGTTTCAGCGCCGTTTTCCCGACGATTATCGAGATTCCTATCATTACAGAAACAACGGGTAAACCATACATGTTTTTTTGTAATCCGTGTATGTTTTTTGTTTGATTTCGTTCGGTTTCCGTTACGCGTGCGAATCAGCATTCGAATTTGCAGGTTGCAAGCGCGCGTAACAATATTGAAACTAATTGCGTCGATATTGGAAAGAATGCAATGATATAAAATCTTTTCATAATGCCGAAACCTATACGTGATACCGAAACCATTAATCAATATTGAATCCCGTGTTGCCGGATGCGGAGGGCACGGGATTCGGTACCCGTTTCTGGTTTCGGTAACATTGGTTTCAGTACCATTTCCCGTCATTTTTTCTCTTTGTTCTTCTCTCTCCCCCCTCTTTCCCTTCCCATCCCCTCCTTTCTCCTTTCCGCCCTCTCTCCCCTCCTTTTTTTCTTTAGGCTGATCGGTGCGCGTAGTCCCGGATAAGTATCCCTTGAGTCGAACGCATCCAATAACATATAGCGGCGGTGACATTTTTTTCGCGTGCTGCGCGCGCTTGACGCGCGCGGCGAACGGGAAATCCGTTCGAACACACTTGCAAGGGCAGCCCCAGCATCGATATACACGGCTGTTGTTTTCGTAACCAAATCTATGTTGGACGCAGTCAAGCGCGAAAAAATGCAGTCGACCAGCGCCTGTACAGCTTGGTTGTTCTCCTCGCAGGGCACAAGACACGAACGACGACGACCGCCGCCACTGCCATTGACGACCAACGCCAACGCCCTCGACGATCTGTTTCGGAAATTTCTTTAGTTGGCCACTCTTGCGGGGAAAGCACGAAGGCCAATGGTACGAATATTTCGTGTCATGCGCCGCCGTCGATATGGATTCCGAACCAGCCAAATGACACAAACTGAAATGTCTGCGCGCCACGATTGCGCGTCCATCGTAGCACAAACGCTTTTGATATGACGGGTCCGTAGACGGGTCTTGTTTGTTCGCGAACTCCAGGAACTTGTCCAGCAAGAGAACGCAACGAAAAACGAAAATGCGGTTGCGAGTAGAAGAACACCCGGGATCAATCGTACATTTGCGGTATCGGCGCACAGCGTTCGGCAAAATAATTCCATTCGCTTGGGCTAGCAAATCCAGGGACTGGCCGGTAATCTGTTCCATCGTTGCCCCTGCGGGCGGTGTATACCGCGCTGGATTTCGGGACAGTGCTTGGATGTCGCCTCTCACCACCGATCAGTTGCCTTCTTAACCCGCCATTGTGGCTGCTTTGAGTCTTCTTTTTCCAATCGCTCTTGCAACGCAGACATGAAAGGAGCATGAACCACGCATCCACCTTTAGTTTAAATTTGAATGAACCCGCCTTGTTGCACGAAGCGCCACTTGAACAGGCAGAGGGTCCAGTCGGCAAATTGGCATTGGTTGTAATGCACGATAACGGATTCCGTTGGTTCGCCGGGTTTAGCAGAGAATCTGAAATTCCCAATATTGACATTTCTTCTGTCAAATGGGTAATCTCTGTTTCTTTAACTGTATTACCCTGGCCGACGGCCGCCGGATCGTCTTCCGAAATTCCTGGATTGAATCGTAAGAACGACTTCGCTTTATGCTCACAGAATGTATCCCACGGCGCCGCTACGACCCCCACCAAAAATATGATAACATATGCGAAAATATTTATACTCAATATAGAATGGAAAACACATGTTCGATTAACGGGAAGAAATATATGCTGAGCGTTAATGGCTTACGGGTGCATGCTTCTTCCGAACATTGTTGACAGAAATAATTAATTCATGGTGCCTGAACTGGTGGAGACCGGAGTGGAACTCATGAGTTCGTGCTGGAAAGTGATAATATCAGAGAGGAAGCTAGAATAGCAGGGGAATGAGAAGGCGCGGGGATGCGGGAAAAGAAAAGAACCGGAATGGGAAGGGCCCGGAATACGAAGAATGGGAGAGAGCCGCAATGATAATTGGAGGGAGCCGGAATGAGAGGAATACGAATGAGCGGGGGTAAGAAAAGGAGAGGAAGAGGAAAGAGTAGAGGTGGAGGAACACGAATGATCCGGAACGGAGGAATTGGGGATGATACAGGAAGGCTGGCCAACTACGCCACGTAGACCGGCCACGTCACGCGAGCCGGCCAAATTGCGCCTTCTTCCTCGCCCCCTCCTCCTGCCCCTTTCTACTCCTTTATCCTGCTACGCTTGCCTCTGTTTCTCTTCTTACCCTCCCCTTTCACGGGAAAACAAAAATACGGATTGCACGAAACAAATTTTGGGGGGAATCGGAAATATACTGAAACCAGTGCCCGTGATACTGAAACCAAAAACGTCGATACCGAAACCAATTCTCAATACAGAAACCTATCAACACTACCGAAACCTATGGTCCATATTGAATCCCGTGTTGCTGCACTTCATCACTGCACGGCACTGTGCGCGCGACCTCACGCCCGACGAAGCACGAGTCGGAGCTAACACGGCCCCTGAACTCTCACAACGCTCGCTGCGCAGGGAGACATGGAACGAGCAGCGCCGGATCAGTTTTAGGTCGAGCCTGTCCTGACGGCCTCCAGCAACATGGCGGAGAGCGCGCAGCAACCTATGGTCACGACGGCGAGGGGCAGGGCCGGAACGCAGGCTGGCCTAACACAAGAAGACTTGACCAGCCGTACAGGTCTGCCACTTGCTTCTGCTACCATGAGTGCCTGGACGGCGCGCTGGAGGGCAGGGTGCCCTTGCCATGGAGAAGCGGGCGTCCAACCGACGTAGGGCCCCGAGGCGGCTGCGACGCCATCGACGCTGCAATGCTGCCATGGACTGCCCCGAACGCTGCGCTCATGGAAGTCGGGTTGCCCTTGCCTGCTGGCAGTGCAGCCTTGCCCCCCTTGCCCCCGAACTTGGGCCTCGGCTGCATGTGCAGGACCCCTTTGCCTGCACTGAGAGCGGGCTGGTTGGGCGGCCATAGAGGTGCTCGAGTGCCCTTGGCTCCTCCGGCAACCTCCGGCATGGTTGGAGGAAGAAACAACTGCATAAGCATAAACTTTCGGAGGCCCGCGCGAATTTCTGGGTTCGGCGCCGAGACCCCCTGGCGGGGCCATGGAGGGCGGCCCAGCGCCGATGCGGGGAAGCCGCGCGAAGCTCCGACAGTTTATATGCTCGTGCAGCTCTTGGGCCCTCGAATGGCGCCAGGCTCGCCAGCCGCGCGCGGCCGCGGCGCCCAACCGCCCTTGCCGGACCACTGCCCTGCCAGCGAGGCCGTGGGCCGCGGGGCCGCGCCACCGCTCGGCCTCGGCCTCGGGTGCGGCGGCCGGCCGCCTGCCGACGGAGCGCCGGCGGCCATGCGCCCAGGCGGCCACGGAGCAGCAGCCGCTGGGAGGCCGCCGCCGACCCCGCCCGCGCCTGCCGGCCACTCTTCCTCCGCACGGGGGGAGAGCGGGCCCTGCAGGGAACGGGTCCTGGAGCCTCGGGCCTCCCCCCCCCCGGGACGAGATCTTCACCCCGAGTCGTCTTCTGGCGGCCCCGGAGGGCCCCGGGGAGCCCACACTGGCGAAGAACCTCCGGACCGCTTCCCTCGAGAGGAGGTCGGGCACGTCCCTCTACTGGAGACTGTTTTTCGAATGATTTTGACCACTTGGGGATCTTTTTCTACTATTTTTCATTCTTCGTCCCAAATCCCCCTGTAGGGGGACATGCCCGACCTAACCTTAGGACCCGCTTCCCCCCTGGCGAGCCTCCGCTGCGTCCCACGAGCCGCCCCCCTGGCCGCCGGCAGCCCCCGCCGCCTCCTCACGGGCGCCCGCGCTGCCAGAGTTCCGCTGCGGCCACGCCCCCTGCGAGGGCGCTGGGCTGGGCGGGGTGGGCCACCGCTGCTGCGGAGGCGGCGCCGAGGGGAGGGCCCAGCCGCCGCCGCCGCCGCCGCCTGGCGCACCCACGACGAGGCCGAGCTCCTGCGCCCAGTCCAGCCACCTGAGCGACGAGAAGACACGGGCCTTGCGCGAGATGGCATGGCGACCTTACGCGGTGGCTTGCGCGGGCCGCCAGCCTCGGCACGCTACATGGAGACGGCGGCGCTTACACGCGACCTTCCGCGGCAAGCTCAAGCGCCAACGTCGGCGCAGACGAACCCGTTGCTTGGAGTCGCTCACCTCGCCCACGTGGCGTTGCCGCGCAGGGTCGCGGTGTCGCCCACGACGATGAGACCTCGGCGAGCACGCGTGATGGTCACGTTGAGCCGCCGCCAGTCCGCCAAGAAGCCCACGTTTCCCTGACGGTTGCTGCGCACGGCGCTGAAGATGATGAGCTCCTTCTCGCGGCCCTGGAAGGCGTCCACGCTCGCTATCTCCAGGGCCTGGGCGCCCCGCCTGCCCTCGAGGCCGCCGGTGAGATCGACGCCCGTGCCCTCCAGCCGGGCGGGCAGCTCCCGGCGCAGCTTCTGGCGGAGCTGGCGCACCTGCGCCGCGTAGGGCGAGACGATGCCCACCTCCAGCACCGACAGCTCCCCGGCGGCCAGCACGCCTGCGAGGACGTCTGCCACGGCGTCCACCTCGCCGGCGTTGGCCCGCGACTCCCCGTCGCGCCGCTCGGGGCCCGGCACGTGCAGGAAGGCGATGCCCGAGGCCGCCTCCGGCCACGCGAAGCCGCTGGGCGGCGGCCGCTCGTGGGGCTCCACGCCGGTCTTCAGCCGCCCGTGGTAGAACTCGCGCGCGCTGAAGTCTGCGATCCGCGGGTGCATGCGGAACTGCGTGTCGAGGAAGTGGGGCTGCAGGCCCTGCGCGACGAGGCGGCCGAACACGGACAGCGAGAGGCCCCGGGTCTCGGCCTCCATCGAGCACACGCTGGGCGGCAGCTGGCAGTGGTCCCCGACGAGCACGAGCCGCTCCGAACCGCGCAGCGCAACGGGCACGATGGCCGAGAGCTCCGTGGCCTGAGCAACCTCCAGAAGGGGCCCAGGAACACACAAACAAATAGGCACAAATCCCAGGATTCTCAATCATCTTCAATCTTTTCTAGATTTCGTGCTTCCCTCCACTCCCCATATCCTTCCCAACCATCCTGTGGTGTGGGGCCCTCGTTTTGAAGAGACAGCGCCCCGCGCTCCCTCCTCTGCGTGGGGGCCAGTGTTGATGGGCGCGTGTGTCGGCAGCGAGCCAGGGGGGGAAGTGAGAGGTGGCGGGCCTTCTCAGAAGGCTCGGAAGTCCCTGGGGCTTCTGAGAAGTTTCCTGAGTCTTCCCCGCAGACAGATACATCTTCTCAGAAGGCGAGGGGGCTTCTCAGAAGTCCCGCCGCCTTCTCAGAAGGCCTTCTCCTTCTCACTTCCCCCCTTCGCTCGCCGCCGAGGTCAGGGTCGGTCTCTTTGGGCTACCTTGACCACTGGCGCGAACGTGCGCCCTCACAACGGTGCACGAATACACATCTTTATTATTATTATTATTATTATCATTATTATTATTATTGTTATTATTACTATTATTCTTATTGTTATTATGATTACTATTATTTTTATTCTGATTCTTATTCTTATTATGTTTATTCTTCTTATTCTTCTTATTCTTATTAGTATTAATATTCGACTTATTATTATTATTATTAAGATTTTTGTGTACGAATACGCGTCGGCTCACCATCCGTCGACCGGCGCTCGTCTTCTGAAGGAGCGCGCTCTGCCGGCTGGACTTTATAACAGTGCTGCCAGAGGCAGCCATCGTCCCAGCGCAGTGGGCGAGCGCACATCTTCCGCACGCTCGCCGCGTCGGCCCTCATGGGCGATCTTGGGGGGCTCCTGGGCAGTCTTGGACGCTGTGAACCTCCGAACGTCGTCTATACCAAAAATGCTAGTTTTCCTTAAAGACATGGGGCGAGTTTTGCTCGTTGGGGTCCTCTTGGAGGGCCTCTTGAGGCAGACGGTCAAGAAGAAGGCCCCACAGATCGGCTCGAGACGGCCCAGGAGGCCCCCAAGGCGGACCTCCGAATTTCCGAGACAAGACCCCAGGAAGCCCCCAGACGCCCCCGTAAAGGCCCCAGAGAGCCCCTCCGAACGGGAGTGGCAAGGCTCCAGCAAGCCGCATAAGTGCCTCCAGAAGGCCCCCCAGAAGCTTCCCACAACACACCAACAACCAACATGCCTCTGACCCACAACCCAGGCACGGCAGCGGCGGCACGACGGGAGCCTGAGCATCAGCAGCATCCTCATCTTCCTCCACATCATCGTCATCATCAGCATCATCATCAGCATCATCATCAGCCTCATCATCCTCATCATCATCCTCCTCATCATCATCACCACCACCATCATCATCATCATCATCATCATCATCATCATCATCATCACCATCATCATGGTCCTCAATCCTCCCCCTCCTACTCTTGAGACGAGGTTCCTGAGCGCAGGGTCTCGCGCCACGTTCGCCCGCTTCCCTGAGATATTATATCATTGGGACCGCATGGTCCGCCCAGCTGGGGCAACAAGGCGAGAGAAGGACGGGACTGACCGAACCCTCCCTCCCTCCCTGCCTGCATCCCACCACTATCACAAACTGCTCCGTGATCGTCACCCTTACTTACCATCCTCACCATCACCATCGTCATCCTCATACGCATCCTCATCGTGCCCCTCCCCATCACCATCCTCAACGGCATCATCATCATCATCATCATCATCATCATCATCATCATCATCATCATCATCATCATCACAACCACCCTCATCATCATCATCAGCATCATCACCAGCATCGTCATCATCATCATCATCATCATCAACGCCACCATCATCATCACCACCACCACCATCAAACACCACCACTACCACCACCACCATCGTCATCATCACCACCATCATCACCACCACAACCATCACCATCATCATCAGCATCATCATCATCATCATCATCATCACAACCACCCTCATCATCATCATCATCATCATCATCATCATCATCATCATCATCATCATCATCATCATCACCAGCATCGTCATCATCGTCATCAACGCCACCATCATCATCACCACCACCATCAAACACCACCACTACCACCACCACCATCATCATCATCATCACCACCATCATCACCACCACAACCATCACCATCATCCTCAGCATCATCATCATCATCATCATCAGCAGCATCATCATCACCATCATCATCCTCATCGTTACCATCCACGTCACCATCACCAGTACCCTCTCCACCATCAACCTCTTCGGCATCCTCTTCGCCCCCCTCCTCTGCCTCGATCCTCCTCCGCCTCTTCTTTCCCTCATGCTCCTTCTCCTTACCCTCCTTCTCCTTATCCTCATCGTTATCCTCGTCCTCCTCGTCCTCATCATCATCTTGCTCATCCCGCTCGTACCCGTCGTCCGCATCAACCACCCATGGTCCTTATCATCACTCTCGTCCGCCGCAATCTCCCTCCTCTTCCCTTCAGTCTGCTCATCCTCCTCCTCCTCCTCCTCCTCATCACCTTTCTCATCCTCATCCTCATCCTCCCCACCGTCATCGTCATCGTCACCGTCGTCGTCATGAACACCACCATCGTCGTGTCCACCGTCATCATCAGCATCGTCGCCATCAGCATCATCCCCCTTGTCCCCTCCGACCGCCCGGATCGTCCTCCTCTGTCCCTCGTGCTCCTGCTCATCCTCCTCTTCCTGCTCCTGCTCCTGCTCCTGCTCCTGCTCCTGCTCCTCCTCCTCCTCCATATCTTCTCATTCCCCCGGGGCGGCGGCGCGCGCGAGAGTGCGCACAGACGAAGACTGACGACGCACAACGACGACGGCGAATGACGCAGCACGGCGAAGCCTGACGACAACGACGGAGACTGACGATACGTATGGTCCGCGTACTCTCCTTCATTAGCATCGCCGTCATGGTCATCATCCGTATCATCATAAACGCCATCGTCGTCATTCTCATGATGCGCGCCATCGTCAGCAGCATCATCATCATCATCATCATCATCATCATCATCATCATCATCCTCAGCATCAACATCATCATCATCATCATCTTCTTCCCCCTCCTCCCCCACGCGCCTCTCCCCACCACCATTCTCAACATCATCATGACCATCACCACCGCAACAGTCGTCATCATCATCACTCCCTGATCGTTGTCATCACTATCTTCATCGTCGTCAGCATCACCACTATTATCATCATCGCCATCACCATCATCATCACCAATAGCATCATCAGCATCATCATCATAAGCATCATCATCATCATCCTCAGCATCATCATCATCATCACAATCGTCATCATCGTCACCATGATCATCATCACCACCACCATCATCATTATCATCATCATCTTTACTGTTCATCATTATCACCCTGATCGTCATTATCATAATCCTATTCCCCTCATGCCCCTCCTGCCCCTCCTTATACGCATCGTTATCCTCTTCCTCATCAGTCGCATCACCATCACAATCATCATAATCACCATCATGCTCAACATCATCATCAGCATCGTCATCGTCATTATCCTCATCCTCCTCATCAGCGTCAGCATCACCATCATCAGCAGCAGCAGCATCATCATCATCATCCTTATCTTCCTCACCCCGTTCGTCCCCCTCGTCCACATGAACCCTCGCGGTCCTGCTTATCACACGCGTCCACCCGAATCCTCTTCCTGTTCCCTTCATTCACCATCGCCGCCTCCTTATCATCATCCTACTCATCATCCTCATCATCAGCATCATTAGACATCAATCACAGGTCATCATCTTCATCACCATCACCATCGTTATCAATTTCATCATCGTCATCATCATCATCGTCATCATCATTTCCATCATCATCACCATCATCATCAGCATCATCATCATCATCATCATAATCATCATTAGCATCAGCATCATCAACATCATCATCATCATCATCATCATGATCATCCCCCATCCTCATCCTCATCATCACTATGTCCATCGTCATCATTACCGTCTGCGTCATCAACATCAGCATCATCATGTCCATCATCATAAACATACTTCTCTCCATCCACAGCAGCGTCA